TCTGAAAGTTGCACAAGCATGTCAGCCACATTTTCAATACTCAGTTTTTAAGTTCTTGTGTGTCTTGATAATTGAAACTTCAGGAAAAATTAGACCTGATATGTATATTTAAACTGAACTTTCAGCAGAAATATGTAAGATGTAGACATACCAGATATGCATTTTAAAGTTCACAAACACCGATTACAGCATGGAAAGGAAAGGACAGAGATGAAAGAGAAGAGAGAGAGAATGTTCATTAACCAATAAACTTATCCTCCTCACCCCTTGGTGCATTGGTATATACAGCAAACTTAGTCAAACAACTCCAACTATCTTCTCTACCCATCTGAATATTCTTATCAAAGTACAGCTTAACGATTGCATTGCGCATGCTTCATAGATATTAAACACAAAGTATTGCAATGCCACATCTCGAGAATTTCTTCATATGATGAATTTCTTTACTACTGAATGGTAGACAGAAGCAATAAAGACAGATATATACTAAAACAAAAGAAGCGTAGAGATAAATAACCTGAGGTTTTAAGCCACTTTGCAGAGATTTGGATACAAATTTAGCTATCTCTTGCTCATAAAGATTGTCAAAAAGGCCATCAGTGGCAGTAACAATCACATCACCTTCGCTTAGATCAACCTTGTACCCCTGAAACACATTTCACTTTTAGCTGCTACATGTTGTATATAATCCATGCAGGCCAAAGAAAAATAAATACAGGTTGGAAACATTTGTTGTCCTTTACGGAAAAATCAGTTAAAGTGAAGATGCTACAAGATGGATTACGCACCTCAATAATTTCTGAGGGATCGTCACCTCTAACTATCTGTAACGGAAAATTGAATTCATGAACAGCGGGAGTTGACTTTTTAAAGACAGCACCGTTTCTGAGAATGATAAATCCTGTGTCTCCAACGTTGGCAGCATGGAGGGTCTGCACATGATTTTCAGGATTTAATTCAATTTTCAGAACTGCTCTGCAGATGGATTATACGCTTCTTCACTCTCTCTCTCTCTCTTTTTGATTTAGCTAAGCACTAGATAGCCCAAAAGCAATGACATGGTTGTCTTTGAAACATTAATATAATGGATATTTGAACAAGTTGAACACTTGAATGTGCTTAAGACGAAATAATGGATCTCACATGATTAAATGAACCTCATTTTATATTATCAATACAAGGAATGTACAAGAACATGGCAAGATGATATCAAGTTAGACACTAACACGGTCACATAAAAGCATTTTGGCAATCTCAAGTATGCAATAAATATTCATCAACAATAAATTCTAGCCTATTAGGAACCATCCCTTCCACATACCTCCTTCCTAAGATTGCCAGGAGCAACACCCTAACCCTCACGCTTACAATATATTGTAACCACATAAACATAAAATTTTCACAGGGTGGCCTTTTCAGTCACCCAAAGGACACAAGGAGTTTAAAGGGCAACGAGCATGAGCGGTATCCTAATCAGGAACACAGTCCGTCCTCACTTAAAGTCACGCCTTAACTAGTTTAACACTTGAATGTAGCTTCAAATACTGGGAAAACAGCTGATAGTTTACCTGACCATCAAAGTGAGCAACCAACGCCGTAGATGATCCATAACATCCTGTTTCTCCAGCACTTCTTTTAAGAACTTCTTCAGGTTTAACAACAGAAATGCTTTGGTAATTTGACACGACATTTTCACACTTTTCCATGAGTTCTCTAGGATAGTGTCCATTACTACTTCCTGCAAAATTTTCTGCAGATTAAGCAATCGCCTACAATATAGCACATAATCGCAAAGTTTGGGAAGGATTTTATGAAATTTAAGACAAATCTTGTTCATTCCACCAACATGGCAACAGCAAACGAAGCTCAGAAATTGTTTTAAAAAAAAAAAGAAAAAAAGAACAGACAGAAATTCAAGGATATCCATCCTGCAATTGAGTTGGGGTTTATGGTCAGCTATAGGTAACGTACATCTCATAAATTCTGAACCAAATTAGACATTCCCACAAAATGTGATGAAGTGAACAAGAAATATATGATGCTTGATTCACTTTTAAGTATAGAAAAAGGATTACCTTCAAATGACCACTGACCAAGTCCATCAGCCACACCTAGCCAATTCTTGCAAGCAAAGAAATAAGCATCCTCTCGACCTGCCAATGCCTGGAAGTTGTTCTTAGTTGGCTTATTTGTTATCTGTTCCTGATGACTCAAATCAAAGATCGCCTCTAAAGAAGCATTTGGTACATTGTTATCTCACATTCCATTGTATCTTGGTTAGCACAAGAAGGAATCATTAAAATATTAGTTGCATTATGTCAGCAAAAAAAAAAAAAGACGCATTAGTTCTAAATCTGTTGCATTTAGGAAAATCCCCACTGGTTATATGTTGATCCATGGCCACAAACAAAATATAAGGGTTCAAGTATCATCACTTCTCAAATGCCAGTTGCATTTTGTTCATCATACAGGAGCAGAATATACACAAGATTATTGCTGGAATGCATGGGCATTAACTTAGTCACATGATTTCCACCCAAAAAAAACAAAGGCTCAACGTCACCCAATCACATGAAAAGAAAAAAGTAAATAAAACCAAACACAGCAATGACAATAATGACAACAAATGATTAATAATTAACGGAGAAGAAAACCATTATTATTCCATGAAAAATTTAAAAGGAATGACTTGAACAATTCATTCATTCCAAAATTATTTAGGTTTAATTAGGATAAAAAACTCCCACCACTTGCACACTTGTTTGAGTGCTTTCATTCTTAGCCCTACTGACTTTGCAGTGAGAGTCAGAGTTTTTAAACTATGTGAAAGGTACCTTAGATGGATGTGGCAAGGAAGCAACACCTGAAGTTAGGAAAAGTCCCGTAGTCAATGTTTTCTCCCTGCATACATAAAAGTGACTAGCATGACAAACCATGCAGAAGATGTCCTTTACAAACTCTGAATGGCTTGTAAAGCATCAAACCTTGAAATTTGCATATAAAACGGTTTCAGTTCCTGTTTTCACTTTTCATTATAATATAGCCACTGGGATTGAGTTTCTTTCCTAACCACATGGCTATATACAACTTGCACAATCTACACTTTTGTAACACTAGGCTAACACTAGGCAGAAGTTTTTAAAATCATAATTCCTTTATTGAAAAATTCAAGAACTAGATAAATATACTCAGAAACCATTATTTTCAGGTGAAAAGGACAAGTTTCTCCCGTAGAAATAATTTTGGCTACTTGTGTAAAAAAGAATGATAATTAATATTGTGCATACAGTATACAATAGTAATTTTCTGTTTATGCTCAAACGTGATAGACTTTCTCCATGTCTATTGCCTATGCTAATTGCAGATACAAAGGGCCACAGTCTTCTGAAACTTTTCCAGCATTTCAACTTATCTTTAAGCTAAATGTTAAAGAGATCCCAATTCAAAGAGAGATCACCTAACAAGAAATCAACAAAAGGTTGGATACACAAATTTCTCCAGCTAGGAAGCAACCTGAAGCTGAGAAGGAAGAACAAGGGATGGAACAATGTGAAAAAAAAGAGAAGCAACATAAGGAGGGAGGAGAAAGAGCATCAGGATTTGTATGCAATGGAAACCCCAGGGTCCTATCTCTGAGTCAACAAAGAAAAAGGAAGAAATAGAACCTAGCTCTTTGAAGGATTTATTCAGGTAACATTTTTCCAAGCTGTCTCCAAGGCATCCCCTCTGAACTCCTCTGGAATTTTCCCTAAATAGCCTCCATGCGTCCCTCTCCCCTCTAAGATAATTCCCAAGCTATTATCCAGGGTTTGCTGCCCAAAAGACGCACTTAACAGCCTCCATTAATTTGGATTCTCTCAATAAAGGGCTTCCAGGAAAGAAGAAGCGTAGAAAATATCCATGGAGGGATTACAGAATTGAATAAACAAAAGACACTGAATTCAGGAAGTTCTTGCAGGGCAGGAAAGAAGTTGGCACACTTACTCATCAAGAACTGTCTCAGTTGAATGTATCTCTGGCACACAAGCATTGGATGGACCTTCGTAATCACTTTTTCTTGTTTCATCCATAACTATTTCATCTACCGATTTGAAGGATGGAGCCAAATCATCTAACTACAAAAAACATTAGAACAGGTATCAGATTAGAAAGTGTAGCAATTAAATTAAGTACAAAGGAATGATTAACCAAAGTGTTTTCACATTTCAGCAGTAAAGATTAGAAGAGTTGGACATATAAATAAACTCAGCAAACACAACCACAGAAAAAGTAGGGAATAAGAAAAAGCAATGCCGTGTTCACCTTTTCATTTGCATCAACAGATTCGACAACAATATGATGACTTGTTTCCTCATCAAGAACAGGGTCGGAATCTAAAGAAGTTAACCCTGGCATGATTTCAGCCACATCAGTCTTGGCATCGGCAGTCAGGTTGTCTGTTGCTGTCTCTGCAACATTACCCTCGTTAGCTGTAGAGAATTGAGCAACTTCAATGTTAGCCTTCTACCTGACAAAGAGAACAATATATATTAAAAACTTCAATGGCTAATTCACGTTGAAAAGACAACAAACAAGTTGCAATATTACCTTCATATTTGTCTTCAACTATTCCAGGAGCACTGATACTGAAATCAGGAGAAACACTAGACTCTGGGGTAACTGTTGGAACCCCCACTCCCATGTGAATTTTTACTTCAGAACTCTCCCCAGACACAATCTGGACATCTTGAGCCCCAGTAGTAATATCCTCAATATATTTTTCATCCGCTTCCACCTCTACTAAATCAGGAGACACAACAGCATCTGGAGCAACTGTTGCATCCACCACTCCTGTGTGACTATTAACTTCAGAATTTTCTTCAGACATACTTGACATGTCTTGAACATCAAAAACAAGATCTTCACGATAATTTTTATGTTTTTCCTCCTTAACTAAAGCAGGAGAAAAACCAGACTCTGGAGTAACTGTGGGAACCACCACTCCCATGCGACTATCAACTTCAGATCTCTCCGCAGACAAACTCTCAATATCTTGAACCTCAGAAGCAACATCATCGTCATGATTTTCATGTTTTTCCTCCTCTACTAAGTCAGGAGACACACCAGAATCTGGAGTAACTGGTGGAGCCACCAATCCTGCAGAACCATTAACTTCAGAGTTTTCTTCAGACACACTTGAGGCATCTTGAACATCAGAAACAACATCTTCATGCTCACTTTCATGCTTTTCAACCTCAGCTAAATCAGCAGACACACCAGACTCAGGAGTGACTGTTGGAACCACCACTCCTTGACCATTAACTTCAGAAATTTCTTCAGACACGCCTGGGATGTCTTGAACCTTAGAAACAACGTCTTCATGATCATATTCATGTTTTTCCTTCTCAATTGAATCAGGAGACACACCAGACTCCAAAGTAACTATTGAACCCACCACTCCAGTGTTACTATTAATTTCAGAATTTTCTTCAGACACGCCTGGGACATCTTGAACCTCAGAAACAATATCTTCATGGTCATTTTCATGTTTTTCCTCCTCAACTAAATCAGAGGCCCACTAGACTCTGGAGTAACTGTCGGAACCACCACTCCAGTGTGAGTATTAGCTTCAGAATTTTCTTAGATGCACTTGGGACATCTGGAGCATCAGAAACAACATCTTCATGGTCATTTTCATGTTTTTCTTCCTCAACTAAATCAGGAGAAATACCAGACTCTGGACTAACTGTTGGAACCACCACTCCTGTGTGACTATTAACTTCAGAATTTTCTTCAGACGCAGTTGGAACATCTTGAACCTCAGAAGGAACATCTTCATGATAATTGTCATGTTTTCCCTCCTCTACTAAATCAAACTCTAGATGCTTACTGTTTTCTAGCGAGATATCAACTTTACTTTCATTTGCTGGCGGCTGAGACTCCTTATCAACATCATCACTCAACACTGTTGAGCTATTTCTCAGGTCTATCACAGAGAAAGAATCAATCTGCTCACTTAAACTATGACCAGCTTCTGCATTATTACTCCCAGTTCTATGGCTTTCATCAGAATCACCTGCTAGTTCCAACTTTTCAACATCTTCACTCAACAGAGTCCCAGTACTAATATTTCCTCCTTCCTCAGGATATTTTTGAGTGACTTGCTCTTGGTCCGCATCAACCATATTTTCCATTATCTCACTGACATTTCCAAACCGGTATATAATACTACCATCAGAACACTCTGCCAAATGTCCAGAAGCTAAAGTTAATCACATGACTTGGGCAACACTACTAAAAGAAGATATTAGCTTAAGTAAGATGAATCTATCTATAATGTCATACCAAAATAGGAACTAAAAAGAGGAACCTTGGGCTGGAATAAGCCGTAAATAACAATATAGGAAAGGACATAAAAAAGTTGCAGAGGCATTACAAACTTTGCCACTAATCAAACAGAGTATTGAATAGTGAATTAATGTCTTTTCCTTGATGTACAAGTTCTCAATTTCATCACGGTGGTTGTTTCATTTATGTTAAGCATGTTAATACTTCCCCCGTTCCTTATTATAAGGACCCATCTCTCTCATATAGTGTTTTAAATATAAGAATCAAATCCTTGTTGTCTGAAATTTTAAATTTGTCTTTTCATTTTTACCCCATTAAATATATGCTATTTATTATCTCTCTGCAATAAATTTCCACTCATTACCTCGTACTCTTTTTATTAAACAAGGGAAAAATTGGAAATATATATTACATATTTATTACTTTTAATTAAATTTAGCAAACATTTTGAACCACGTGACTTTGGCAGTTGTTTCTAAAAAGGAACCGAGGGAGTAGTTAATAATAACATGCCCTAATGTGAAGCTAATGTTAACATTAAATGTATAAAAAAAAATGTCATGATAGCAACTTGTCACTTAAGCATCCCCAACTAGGATTTAGGAACATAACGATCACAGGATTTCACCCATCTTTATAAACAAGTTTAACGTAACAAAAGTATTCTCTGAAGAGCTGATATGTAGGGGGAAATTAAAACAAAAATGTGCTTTTGGAAATACAAAATACCAACACAATCAGAATTCAACGTAGGCTCAAGAAGAAAGTGAGAATCTTGAGAGGTAAGAAAGCATACCAGTTGCAGAGACAATATCAAAATCCTCAGAAACAGAATTTGATGAGGAACCTGAGGGTTCATTTGATTTGGAAATCATGTGCGCATGGTGGGTCACCCGCCCCTTGGCAAAACATGGAATTGCATTACAGAATTGAAGTCTTTGTGAGGATTTTGGCGAAACATTTCGGCAAGAAATGAACAGACAATGGAAGCAACAGAAGCTCGAAGGCTGAGATTTAAGAGAGCCAGAGAAGAGATGTGCCATTAGAATTTTACTTCAAATTGCAATGCATGAGTATGTCAAGGTTTGTAGGTAGGAATGTTTTCAGAAATGGAAGGTAGAGAGAGTGATAAGAAGAGTGAAAGTAAGAGTGACGATGAAGAAGACGATAATCGAAAGAAAGCGAAAGCCTGAAAGAGTATCCGGTGGCGTGGATAAGGCAGAGCAAGGAGAGAAACAGAGGAACTATTATTGGATGCCGTGATTCTCTGTTCGGCAGGGGACGAGTGGTTGGTATAATTGAATTGAATCTCCTAGAATGCATGGTTATTATTTTATTGCATTTGATTATCTCTCTCTCTCTCTCTATGAGGATTAATATTTTAAGATTAGTCAAATTTTAATAAATAAAATAATTCACTTATTTAAACAGAAGAATAGCTTATATTATAAAATTAGAAAATACTACCTCCGATCTTATTTATAAGATCTCATTTACAAACTACAAATAAGATCTTATAAATAAATCAAAAGTAGTATAGTTTTTGGAAACATAAATATAGATTGATGGGTGAGTAAGTGGATATCCTTTTTATTTTATTTGTTTTTAATTTTTCTTAAAAACTTTATTGAAAACAAAATTAAAATGAGAATTTTTTTTTTGGGGAACCAATACCAAGTGAATTAAAATGAGAAGTGTCACAGGTGGATTAGTGCTGATCCCAATGCATTTCGTCAAATCATCAGCCTTAACACCATAATATTTTATGAAAGTGCTTTGCATCCCATGGTTACTTTGAGACTGGACAAGGGAGCACGCCCCTTAGTGCTCTTGGCCTGTAAAACAAAAGCAATCATTTCAACTTAGTCAACTCCTGGAACAATTGAATTGATCCAAGAAGAAAGTTGCAGATAAGATTTAGATTAGTGGCAAGAAAAGTGACTTTTATTTTATTTTATTTTTATAAGTTAAGTCAAAAACTAATGAGTATAACGTGATTTATATTTGGATTGACTTTTATAGCAAAGCCAATTTGACAAATTGAGACATGTTTAGATAATTAATAAAAAAAGTAAGGCCAGATATAAAATAAAAAAAAAAGAACTTGATGAAATAATACATATTGATATCATAAGCATATGATGTGATAATTCTACGAAAGATATTAAAACTATAAGGGAAAATGTGAAATTGTAGCTTGGATCTTATTTTTTAGGTGCATCCAGTATTTTGATCTTTTTAGTAGTGCATTTTTACCTATGATTTTTGTTTTGCACAATTTTATCCATGAACTTTTTTAAATGTAATTTTACCCATGATATTTTTTTTGATGCAATTGAGAAATAAGATAAGGAATAAAATTACACCTTTATAAAAAATTAGAAAAAAGTCCCTCATTAAAAAGTTAATTGATGAGAAAGACTTAAATCAGAGTACTGAACATTATTACTTTGTATGTACAAAATTTGCATAGTACTAGTACCTTACATGTATAAAATTCATAAAAAGTGACTTTTTATAAGTTTTCCTAGAATTTACTATTTGATTTTTTTTATCCTCTAAATATTTTTTATAAGCATCAAATTATTGGGTATTTTGAAGAAATTTTATCTATTCTCGCTATCTTATTTTCTCTCTCGGCGGTAAATGGGATGAAGGCAAAAAATTTTGGCTTTTGAGGCAATGCTGCTTTTGCATCAAAAGCTCACTTGGTGCACATTTGGTGTATCGAGAATCAAAACATTAGTTTAAGCCTCAACCAGCGGTACCACTCCCAAAATGCTCTACCAGGCACACGTTTAGACTCTAATCACCCAATATCATAATGATATAAAAGCTTCCCAGTAAATGAGAGGTTAGAGATTCAATCTCGTTCAGGTCGTTAGTAGAGGCAATCAATCTCGTAACCGGAGAATCTGATCCTGATTACCCTTTTAAGAATCTAGATGACATTAGATTATTTGTATGTAGAGACTGACATTTTGTCTTTTTATTACATTAATTTCATCGTTACAGGTTACTTAAGTTATTATTAGAGCCTGTTAATGATTATTTTTCGTTTCTAAGATCCTATTGTAATTCTTTTTTTTTTTTTATGTTTTCTATTAGACTTGCCAATAGACATAGAGCGTGGACATCATTTACAAAATGGCAACATAATTGATTCTTTGAAAAATATTTAAAAATGTCGATCTCAGATCAAAGAATTTGATGGCAAACCAAAGCGAAAAAGTATATCCAAGTTCTTCCCACTGCACGCACAAGGGTCAATGAGGATTACAGTTCCAACCAAGATGGAAAAACAAAGTGTCCAGATAACTTTTTGCCACGATGAATACGTTGAAGTAACTCAGAATAAGAGAATTGAAAGTTAAGTGCAATTATGTTCTTCCATCAACCCTGTCTAGACTAGTCCAATTGTTCATGTGAAGGATAATCTAGCATTAAACAACCATGATAATACCTAAAAAGCACAAAATTTTCAGACGATACATGGAAATGAAAGGTTCAATCCGAAGAGTTGCACAAGAGCCTCAACAAAATTAGATCCAAGTTTAGTGGGCAGTGTATCTTTATTTATTCGCTCCCCCTCCCAGTAGCCATCAAGAACTCGCCCTCACATACAACTTCACCTCCAACATAAGCCTTCCCTTCCATCTTTGCTATCCCAAATCGCTTTTGCAGCTTAACAAGTGTCATTCTCATAACCAAGGTATCTCCTGCAATCACTGGCTTCCTAAACCGGACTTTGTCTATTCCAGCAAAAAAGAAATTTTCACGAGAACCTCCTACTTCAGGTTGCAACATGACCAAGCCACCAACTTGAGCCATTGCCTGCATTAAAATACCACTCACCTTAATTACCTGTTTCAAAGCATATTACATAGAGTGTTCTACGAAAAGAACTTCTCCTTTTTCTTTGTTTTTTTCCAACACTCCTATCAGATGTGCAAGCAAGAGATATAGTTATAATGTGGACAATGGTGGAAGATGTTCTTAATAAAGAATGCTGCTTAAATTTAAACTCTAATTATATCACGAGATGTCTATCTGAGGACATCAAAAATAAATAAATAAATAAATAAATAAATAACAATATTAAATGGACTGATTTACAAAAGATAGATCGTGTTAACACATAGAGACATGTAAAGTACACTTTCCAGCATAATTCGCCAATGAAATCTGCATTTTCTGCAAAGCTCGCTAAGAGGTAATCCCATAGAACTGGCTTTTTCATCAATTTGCAGAAAGGTGAGCTTTCCTAGTTTGCAAGTTCCAAGTTTTGAACTTGGGTTTCCGGGACCTCCAAAGTAAATTTTCATGGGTTTACCATTAAGACTGATTTTGTTGTTTGCAAGTTTTGAACTTAATTTCTTTATTTGAAATGAAACCTCACAATTCTTGTGTTGGTTGAAAGACACTTGTAGGGCTTATTGGCTGTTGTTTCCAACATTGTACTGCATTTATTGAGTCCAAAATATAGGATCTTGAGTATGACCAAGAACTAGTTGCAGTTTCAAAGAAATCTGTTCTCATACCATGCCACAGAACCACATACTAGTGGCATAATCTTTTAGGAGAAGATCCCAGAGTGATTTCTATTACCATCTCACCCTAGATAGGGGGCAGGAAAAAAAAAAAAACAAAAAGGGTTTTCAACATATCAGCTAACTAAGAAGTGATAAACGCTGGTATTCAATTCAAAAGATCAACAGGTTTACAGATAACTGATTTTCAATATCCAGTTTAAAAAAAAAAAAAAAAAATTCAAGGTTACATTGCTGTAGTCAATCAAGATATAATTGTGATATTAGCTTTCTACGACTAATGCCAGGGGCACACTATGTTTCAATCATTAAGTACATCCATCATTGCATGCTTATGATGCAAAGATTTTTCTTTTTTCCTTTTGTTTTTTTTGCCCCTTTGTTGCAGCGGAAAAGAGATGATGCAAAGATATCATTAATGATACGATATCTTCTTTTTTTGTTAGCCGTAAATATGATTTTCACAACCAATAGAGAATAAATGAACATGAACTCATTCAAATGAGGGTATCTAATATCAAATAATCAATCTATAACTCCATATATATATTCAAATCCAAGATCATAAGTCAAGTGGATACCGTAACCTTGAATGCTATACAAATACAAACTAATATATCTTCTCCGACTAATCTCAGAAATGTACTTTTACAAAACCCAAATAAACTGACGATTGTGACTAGGCATACCATTTTTTTCAATTGATTGAACACCTTCGATTGGGCATACAACTAAGGATGTGCATACTTAAATTACCATATGTTAACATGCAGCTAATATAACAAATAAAAAATGTGAGAAATACCAATAAAAATAGATATGCAAGTAAAGAATCATCGCCAGCATGATTTTTACCTCAACCATGAGAACACCAGGCATAATCGGCCTTTCTGGGAAATGGCCGGGGAAAAAGTTGTCATTTATTGTTACATTCTTTATAGCCACGGCAGAAACTCCTGGATTGTATTCGATCACTCTATCAACTAGAAGAAACGGAAACCTAAAGCACAACCACAGAAAACAAAGAACAATCAGGTGCAAGAAACAACAAGACTGGCTTACTGGCTCTAACAAAAAATAAGACCAAACCCAGTTTGATCCTCAAATATGACCGGTATCAGCCAAGTCCTTCGGATGTTCTCTCTGTTACCTTGATACTAATGAGTACGATTTCGTTCCAATGACATCATTCTATAGTTACTAGAATAATACTGTGCAATCTTTAGAGAATCAAATATTGTTTGACTATGACAACAAGTTAAAGCTTTTCGTTTAAAGTGATATACAAAAGTTTGTTTGGATAGCCAAAATATGGCTGTAGTATAAAAGATCAACAACAAAAGAATGTCAGAAAACCAAAGATTTCGGTCACCTGTGGGGCAAAATGTCACGAATCTGGTTGATATCCAATACCGTCGGAAATGCTGGATACTCTGAAGCAGCAGAACACAGAAAACAAGTTGATCAGCAAGATGAGAAAGTGAAGGAGTCAGTTCATTCCTGAAAGCAGAAAAGAAAGAGAATGCCTACTTAATTCGATGGGTTTATCATCTTCTTTTGGAACATTTGCAGCATCCGAAGAACAAAACGTCGTGAATCGTCTTTTAGCCGCCGTCACTCTCAGAGGGCTGGCCCCAACAGACAGAGATCCCGGGTTCGAAAATCTGAGAGCTGAGCATCTGGGACGATGCGAAGTGGAAGAGTGAGAATTTGGGCAAGTAGGAGAGAGAAAGGCGTTAGACAAAGCAGAACTTGCCATTGTTGAGCTTCTTCACCGAGAGTGCTTGCTTGCTTGGGTCTTGGAAGTGTTATAGGTGTAGCTGCATTTATCAAAAGGGAAGGAAGGAAGGGCGAGAGAAACAAAGAGAACCCAAAACAAGTGTCTGCCTTCGGACGGAGATTTCACTGTCGCTTCTTTAATTTCTCAGCCGAAGAAAATGAAGGAGAAGGGCAGATTAGGTGACGGCAGTTCAGCTAGACGGGTCGGTTATTCAGGATCCGACATTGACAAAAATGTTCCATTGGCCATGGGTCATTTAAGAGGTGGAAAAAAAAACAAAGAAAAAAATTACCTAAAAATCTTTTCCCCAAACAGATGGCCAGTTAAACATAATAATTAGGAAAAAAAAGAAAATTCGAAAGTACTGAGGACTAAAGAGGTTGTGAAAAGTGTGAGATTCCAAAATAAGATTTTCAAATTTCATTGAAATTAACACAAATGCCCCCACTCAAAAAAGCAAGAAAAAACGTCTCTATTTAACTTTCTCTCCACTTTCCTCTATTTATTATCTTTACTATTAGATTAATAACCAATGATGATTGAGATTTAATATAGTATAACAATATTATAACATTAAATAATAAAAATATATATAAATAATTTTAAAATCAGACAACACTGGATAAAAAGACAAAAAAATTGTAAAATGTTTTAATAAAAATCTATAAAATTAATGTATCCATATTAATTTCTGACTGCTTATATATTTTTTTATTTAATTAATATTATAATAATATCATAATATATTAAATCTGTGGATGTTGATCCAGTGGTAAAAATAATAAATAGAGAGGAAATGGAGAAAGAATTAAATAGAGATATTCCTCCCTACTCAAAAAAGAAGTTCAGAATCTCTCCCCGATGACTCTCAACGCCTAAAATTAATGATAATTATCGAGCCACTAAATTATATTGACATTATAATACAAAAAAAAGAGTTACTTCTCTAATCTTATTTATAAAGCACTTCTAACATATTTCATATAGACTAAAAAAAACCTTAAATTGTATTAACTCTTCATTAAAATATAGCAAATTTTCAACTTTACCCTTGTTTAATATATATATTTTTCAAAAAAAAAAATAACTATATACATGATAATAAATGAAGAACAATATAGTATATTTATGATAAAAATTTAATGAAATGACTTATAAATATGATAAAAAACTCTTCTCTCTTTGTCTTATAAATAGAACCAGAGGAGTAGTTTTTAATTTTCAGTGATTCAGGACTTTAATGTATTTATTCACTGCATTTTATTAGCAATGCCATTGTTAAAACAGACATTTCAATACTCTTTTGGTCTTATTTATAAGTCATTTCTAACATGTTTCATACAGACTAATAAAAATCTTAAACTTTATTAATTCTAATTTAAAATTTAATAACTTTTCAACTTTATCTTTATTTAATATATAATATATCTCATGAGAATAAAATCAACACAATAATAAATAAAAGAGTAAAGATATATGTTTATATAAAAATTTTCTTTCTGTTCTATAAAGAGAAACAAAAAAATTTTTTTACTCTATAAATAATACTCTTCCGGTCCTTATTATAAGACCCAATTTGACTTTTTATTTGGTCCTAATTATAAGACCCAATCTATTTTTTCTTTTATATTTATGCATTTTTTCCAAGATAATCCTTCTAATAATAATAGTTTTAACCAATATACTTAATTAGCAAGGATATTTTAGGAATAACAACACTTATTTATTATAAATAACCAACTTAACTTACTTCCTTAATCTCCTCAAATAAGTCAATTAGGTCTTATAATTAGGACCGGAAGAGTACCAGAGCAGCACTTCATTAGCAATACCATTTTTTCTTTGCCAGCTTCATTAGCAACACCATGCGAACATAATTAAAATTTAAAATAGCAATACATTACCTAACCCAACAAACATAGCTACAAGTCTACAATGCTATAACAGCAAGGGGGCCCATTGCCAGCTTCCTATCCGGCCCAGAATACCAAATACGGACTCCTCGTCTCATTCTCTCTCTCCTTCTCTGAGTTCTGCTTTTGGCGTTTTCCTCTTTCGCCTCCTGACCTCCTCCTTCCTCCAACTGCGTCTCCGACTTGCCGTTGGCACTTGTGTCACTCTCTCTATATACATGCTATAGTCAACCAGTCAAAAAGATCTTCTTCCAAGGAATCCTTCTTTATCTTTCCTTCTTCCCTTCTCGGTGAGTGAGGAGGTGGAATTCCTTTCCTCCGCCATGAATTTCCACCTCAATAACCACAATTCTTCCCCCTCTTCCTCCAATTCCTCCTCCACCCCTAATCCCCTCAGGGATACTCCATCTGCCTCCCTCACCACCACCACTACCACGGCTACCGCCGCCGACGACCCAATGCACTCCTGGTGGGAATCTATTTCCAAGGCCCGCTCTCGCATCCATGCCCTCGCCAACATCCTACCTCCTTCTTCCTCTGATTCTCTCATGACCCTCGCCGATTCTGACCGCCCTGCCCTCTCTCTCCTCTCCTCCCCCGTTGCCTACTCCGCCGTCGCTGATTCTCTCTATTCCCCTGAATCTGGCGCCGGTTCCGATCCCCTCTGCCACTGGCTTTACGATACCTTCCTTTCCTCTGACCCACATCTCCGCCTCGTCGTTCTTTCGTATCTGCCCCTTCTCTGTGGTCTCTACCTCACTCGAATCCACAATTCCTCTTCCGATTCAACTTCGCTTCCTTCTCTGTCTGGCTTCGAGGCTGTTCTCTTGGCTCTCTATGCTTCTGAGACCAAATCTCGTGGGGGAAAACCTGTTGTGGTTACAATTCCGGATCTGTCGCAGCCTTCTATTTACCACGCCGATGAAGAAACCTGGTGGTAATGGGGTTAACCAAACGAGGCCTTCCGTTGGGGTTATGTCTGCTCCGCTTGAGCCTATGGTTGCGGTGAAATCGACCAAAAGGGCTTGCATTGTTGGGGTCGCGCTGGATTGTTACTACAAGCAGATCTCCCAGATGCCTGGTTGGTCTAAGCTTGAATTTTGCCAATTTGCTGCTGGTTGGGCTGGGCAGGATTGTCCCTGTAAGGGAGAGTTTGATGGTGGGGAGGAAATTAACGCTAACGGGCTTTCCAATGGCCTGGATTTGAAGGAGGAGGAGGATGAAATTGAAGAGGAAGTCACGAAAGAGATGGAAAATTTGGCTATTCAGAGGTATGATTTTGCTACTGAATCTTCCAAAGGGGCCAGAATTCCACTTCCTTGGGAGCTTTTGCAGCCAGTGTTGAGAATCCTGGGGCACTGCTTGTTGGCCCCATTGAACTCTCAGGAGGTCAAGGATTCTGCCTCAGTTGCAGTAAGATGTTTATACGCGAGGGCCTCTCATGATTTGGTGCCGCAGGCAATTCTGGCTTCAAGGAGTCTCATACAGCTCGATAAGAGGGCTCGGGAGTCTGCCAAGGCAGTGGCTGCAACTGCAAATGCGTCATCAAATGCTAACACACCCAGCAAAGCGAAGAAACCTGAAATTCTTTTGGTCTCAAAGTGATTGGGGGAAAGGCACAAAATGTGCTTGTGAAGAAGATGATGATTGCTGTATAGTGAGTAAATCAGTAGCGGATCGAGAGTGTTTTCTCTAGGCTTCATACTGTAAGAATTCAGGCTTGTATCATAGACCGATAGTTTGTGCCTTTTTAAGTTACATATTTTTTCCTCTTTATCCCGAATGAATATTTAGATGTTTTGACGTTGTTCTTTAGTCTTGACTTATTTGCTATCATTTGCTTCATTGGTGTCCTTTGCTTGATTTTATTGCACATTCTTAGTGCAATTCTATATGTTGCTTTACTTTATTTGAATTGTTGTACTCTGTATTGATTGAGTACATTAAATGGGGCGTTGCTTATGATTCATAATTTGCTTTAGATTGGTTTTGCTGATGATTGTTTTTCTGGGTTTTAGTAACCTGTTTGGAGTTCAGATGTTATCTTGGAATACACGGAGCGATGTTTGCAAGTCCTATATAATACTGGTTGTCTGGTAAAGATGAAGTCTTTTTTGCCTCCTCCTTATTTAAACTCCATAATTGACTTGGTCATTTTAGAAATTCATTTTGCTGATCAGGATCTTGATTCTCTTAAATTTCTGGTTTTTTTGTGTTATATCCATTATTGCTCCTATTAGGAGCCATTTATTTTCTCTGGTGTCGTCGATATCGTAGTACAAGAGGATAATATGGTATCTAAGATTCTCATGTTTGTTATGACAATTTCCAATTGTCTTATGAAGGATGTGAATGGCATTCTATAGAAGTTTATGAAGCTTAGTAACTTAGGGCGCAAGATTCCCTCAATTTTTTTGTCTTCGTGGTATGAAATACTATCCAAAGTTATGTTATCCAATGGCTCCTAGCATTTTGATCCCGGTGTGCCAAACACAGGCATTTTGGATTCCTTTTGCCATTCAAGATACCAAGGTGAAGATATTTATCAAATGGTTTATTTGTCACAGCTCACCAAAACCAGCATTGTTATCCTCAGTCCTCGGCCTCTGAAGATTATAGTCTGTGACCTAGGATAGATCTATGAATGAGGTGAGTTTGCTCATTCAGTGTTAATAATAATTCACAATTGTGCGTTTACAGGATGACCCCAACCTATATCTGAACCCTAGATGTTACTGATAATCAGTTCTACAGTCTATGGTTTTTGTTTTGATGGTTTAGCACCTTCAGACTCTTCACTTTAGGTTTTGAGAATCCCTTGTGAACTTTAATTGTTTGTTGGATACTGGCAAGATCATTATAAAATATGATGTTTACAAAGTTATTGTCGTTAGAACAAGGCAGAAGACACCGTGAAGACCAATTCACCCTAGACTGACTGAATTCCGTTTTATACTGCTCTTTTTGGTCTAGAATTTTCCAGTTTGAATGAGTAATCTGTGCAACCGCTGTTTGTATGCTGACAGCAGTAGCTTCAATGGCAGAGTCTAGTTTCTACCCTGTGATATGTTGCTCTTTATGCAAAGCCCTAACGCACTTGTTTTTTGGCCTGGTAGTGTGCTGGAGACCAACATCAACACAAGACACTAATGAGATGCTTATAGGCGTTAGAATAAATAGCTAAATTTTTCAACCTGGATTTAGAGTGAATTCTTTTCAACATGAGCATTTTGAATTTTACGATTCATTTTTTCAGTCATTCGTTTTAGAAGATCATGATGAATGGTATTTCAAATATATAATGATGTCTACTGTGTTTTTCTTTAGAAGTGAAAGTTTTAAGAATCAGGACTTGAATACAACACTTGTGTGGAGATTTACCATGTTTAGTCTCTCTCTCTCTCTCTCTCTCTATATATATATATATATATATATAAGTTTGGCGGCTCAACTTTTCTTCTTGCACGTTAGTACTTCATAGTTTTCCCTTCAAACTTCAAACTCTTCTGTCCCATGATGCTGTGTAAATGCTGGGTGACTTCTGGAGCCCACTACTGGATTAGAATCCTATAAAATTGGCCTAGCTGTTGAAGGTATAAATGGAGTTTAGTCTGTGTTAGCAGGTGCATCACAAATTGTTTGTTACATATCATGGTGTTATGTTCCGGTTTTATCAAATTGACTGGTGTTATCTTGTGTTTGAAAGTCGAGAAACTTGAAGCAGTTCACGATATTCAAGTTTAGAGACCTTACATCGTGCCTGCCATGGATGCATACTTCATCTTTGTACGATCGCATCAGAAATTAACTAATGAGACTTGCCAAGCTGACTGTATGGTGGTACTGCATGTGTTCTTGTAGAATAAGTGAATTGACCTTATGGCCTTCAAATTATTAAATATTTCAATATGGTCAAGAGGCTTTATGCCTTGAAGTGATCTTAATAATGTATTTGTAATTTTTTATTCATTTTTGTTATGATTTATTTTCTCATGCGATTCATAAAAATCAATAACTTTATGAAGTTTTTGAAAGATTTTACTTATTTTCTAACTAATGAAAAAATAAAAATATTATCCGAATCCCCAGAGGACGGCGTGGGAACACTAACCCTGGATCATAGTGGTCTTCGCCCTTCCTGCTACAGTTCAAAGGACATTGCTTGTTCATCACAAGGTGCTGGTGTGATCATTATAATTTGTTTTTCTGGGTTTAAAGAAAAAAATATTTAACTATTAAATACTAAATTGGCATTTTACTTTGCCATTATTTTATTTGGACACAAATAAGTTAATTAAGATTCTTTCGTTTGGAGAGAACCCACACTTAAGCTGGTCTAGTTGAAAGCAGAACATTTCTTTCTTATTTCACCATCACGACCAGTTTTGACCTCAATGTTGCTCATTTTCACCATGGCTTTGCCAAACTCCACATTGAATACAGTCTTTCCCGAGTACCTCTGAACAAAGGGCTTTGTGGAAGCATCACTCCACAGTTCTTGATCAGACTGCAAAATTCCCCGTCCTTTCCTCAGATTATTGAAGTAAGATGTGTCGAACCGGTTCTGGCTTCTGAAATCGAGCGCCACCCGGTTCATGCCGTCACCGTTCTCAGGGCAAAGTGCTCGGAGCTGAGGCAGGAAGGAAGGGTTGATGGAAGGGTCAGGACCCCCATTTCCACCAAAGTTGTAGAGTCTGTTGCTGAAGAACAAGCAGGCTGTAGTTCCGATGGTATGCCCTCCTATATATACATATAAATATATTTATTCAAATATTAAGAAATGAATTGGTTACGATTTGAAGCCAGAATGTTCCAATATCTTACACATTCCCAAATTACAAAATAAAGAGATAGGTTTGTTTGTAGAGATAAAGACAAAAACAAAAGGGCAGGCTAATGCCCAATTATAATATGTGGATCTTGTGAATGCCCCATCTTTATTCTCAAGATTCAATGGGGATATATAACACGAATTGAGTAGAATTTTGTAATTGATTATTAATAATTTTTTAACATGATTAAATTATTAGTATGAATTGCTAGTAGTTGATCACATGCCAAACATTGAAATTTATAAAGATAATCAAATTAGAAAAGAAACCATGGGCGGCTCATCACGGAAAACCAAGTAATTTGGATTTTAATTACGCCACAGTGTGGTCAAATAAGGGACAAAAATAAATAAAGGAGTTGGAATCCATAGAGTCTCTACATTTCTACTTGTTCTCATTAAAAAAAAAATTCCTACAATACAATATTAAAAATTTATTTATTGTAAAAATAAGGAAATAATGCTTATCAATTGATATAAGTATCTCATTCATATGGACAGTTTAATTAAATTTTATTTTATTTTGTTATTTATGTTATAATATGTTTATTTGAACATGTGTAAAACATAAAATAAAAATAATATTTTAATTGCTAATCTTTTAATATTTAACCTATGAAATCAAAAATTAAAAAAAATCCAATGATGAGAACTATTGAAATTAAATCTTAATGATAGATCTAAATCATTTCTCTTGAACGATCACTGGTGAATTCAGACATATTATGTCACTTGTGAGCAATACAAGTTTTTAACAAATTAATATTACCCAAACACATTTGTTTACGAACTATATGAAGTTAAAAAAATTGAGTTACCTGATTTGTGCATGATATAACTTGTCATAGCATAAACACAGTAATAATATATATATATATATATATATATATATAGTTTTCAAGAATTATGAATAATAATACATCTATTTTATATTTTGTATATCATGAGAGAGAGAGAGAGAGAGAGAAGTGAATTACCAACAAGAGTGACAAGGTCTTGAGCGTTGAGGCCCTTATCAGCGAACTTCTTCTTCTGAACATCAACAGAATCTGAAGGGCCCGGCAAGTTATCCACATCTGAAGCCTTCGATACTCTACCATCTCTTCTACCTGTAGGAACTTCCCATCTTACCCCTCCACTCTGCATTTATTCCCAACCATATCATTCTTATCCACTCACCTGCGTACACTACACACAAATGTATATTTAAACTAAATTCAGTTCTTACCACAACAACAGAATCGCGAGCAGCAAGGGCAAGTATGTCAGCACAAGACACAACACCGGGGCATGCAGCCTCCAGCTGCGTCTTGGCTTCTTCAATGACCTCAAACCCCCTCAACCCGCCGTTCGCCCCGGCCGTTCTCTCTGTCCCTGCACCGGCCACAAGGACCGATGCGTCGCAGCCTCGGACGAAGCAATCATGGAAGTGCATCCTCAGTAAGCCAGCAGCTAGAGAAGGATCAGACTTGACATGAGCTTGAACAGTAGATCTCACAATTGACTCAGCTCTAGGGCAAGAGGTTGAGTAAAACCCTAGACGTGTCCCTTGGCCATGCACAGTCACAAGCAAAGCTAGAACCATGTAAAACACTAACAAAAACCTTAAGTCGTTGAAGAAACCAGCCTCCATTATTTTAATCTGGAACTCAATTATATGAGATGAGATTGGTGAATTTGGGGTTATAATTTATAGAGTTTTTTGGGGCTTTAATTTGTGGGGTCAGAACTTGATAGAGATAAGCAATGAGTAAGAGAAGGCGGCTAATGTTTCCAAAACCTAGTGCGATATAGGCGGGATTCAGGTCTTTTATAAATGAAGGAGACATTACTTTACAGTCACTTGTATGACTCATTAACTAATTTGAAAAAATTAAAAAAGTTACTAAATTATTTAATTATACTCCTCCGGTCCTTATTATAAGACCCAATTTGACTTTTTATTTGGTCCTAATTATAAGACCCAATCCATTTTCTCTCTTATATTTATGCATTTTTTTCCAAGATAATCCTTCTAATAATGATAGTTTTAGCCAATATACTTAATTAGCAAGGATATTTTAGGAATAACAACACTTATTTATTATAAATAACCAACTTAATTTACTTCCTTAATCTTCTCAAATAAGTCAATTGGGTCTTATAATTAGGACCGGAGGAGTAGCATATATTATATGATTTCTTCAAAATATTCCTCCGGTTCTAAATATAAGACCCCTTTGTAGTGTAAATTACACTACAAAAAGGGTCTTATATTTAGGACCGGAGGAAAACTTATGTGTACCATTATATTATGCTCCTTAATTTCTAAAATGTAAGACCCATTTAATGGTATAAATTATACTACAAAGTGAGTGTTACAATTAGAACAGGAGATATAGACTAATTTGTAGTAAATAAGTCAACTGGATCTTATATAATGACCAGACTAGTATTGATATTTGGTAATATCCAATTAGATTTAAGCATTATTAAGTGCCCACCAATTAAGGGTAATTATATTCTTTTAAAAGTTTTTTTTTTTTGCATTTATATGTACTCGAACATATATAACCCTTTTGGTATCATCATCAGTAGCTATATATGTTGAGCGGTTTTCTTAAATAAAATTGTCACTATTTTACTGTATAATATTTTACTTTAGAAACTAAAAATAATGTTGAATTATATATATGACTGGATAGTCTCGGATGCCAATTTTTTAAATCTATACGACTTATTTTTTTCCGGAAAAAAGGAAAGAAAACAAAAAGGGGACAATAGAGAACAGCGTCCCAACATGTGCATGTTCATGGAAAGATTATAAAGGTTTGAAGAAGTCAAAGTTGATTTGAAGACAAACAGGGACAGTGATGGATCAAGTGGAGTTTAATAGCATTTAGCATAACAGGTTGCATCATTAATATATGTAAACTCAAATCATATTATTGGTTAGAGATCTGATTATATTGTTAAAGCAAGACTATATGTGACTTTAATTACTCTTCTGGGTACTCATATCAATTAACTAAAAAATTTACATGCCCCAGCTTGCAGCTAAATTGGTTCACATCATCTAATTATAGAACTTACACGCCACACAGCTTTCAGCTACAACAGTTAAAGTTGAAAATTGTTTTTTCCCCTAACGCATAGATATATGTTATTGGAGACAATTTGGTCCAAGACATAACTAGGGACATTAAATGTGGATAATGAAAATTTATTAAGATTTGATGGGTTTTAATGATGATTCAAACCTTGATTCATTGTACATAGTGTGAGAAATTAGTTCTTTTTCGCTAAATCTAATATCTCTATCGGTAAAATAAATAATATTTATTAAAATTATATGATGATTTAGGGTTTGTGTGTGGGTTTGTGGACATGGAAAAGGAGGGAAAATGATGGATGGATGGTCGGTGGTGAGGGAATGAGATAACCATGAAATTAGGATAGAAACTTGGGCTCACAGGTTTGTACAGAAGTGAAGTGCGAATAATTCTCCTACGCACGCATGCGGGGTTTGGCTGCATTATGCATGGGGACTCTTATTATATTCAGTGTACTTTCTCGCATCTTTACTCTCTAGGACTTATTTGAAATAGCTTTTTAATTGTGATTTTTAGAATACAAGGTGTGTACGTGAAAGTAGTTCAATATATGTGAATGTGTGCTTCCAAACAAACCCTTAGTTTTGTTCAAACTAGATATAAGTGTAAGTGCCTGTTTGGATAATATTGTTAATAAGACTTAGGAGTCAGTCAGGACAAAAAAAAAATTTCTGGTTAAATAATGGTAAAAAACAAATGTTTGGTATGATTTTGGAAGCAATTAAATTTTTGTCCAAAAGCTACTATGAAGTTGAAGCAACTTTTTCTGATTTCTGACGTGCTTTTAATTTTTTTTTTTTTACATATATTTAAACTTCTAAAACTCACTTTTGACCAAAATCAGACAAACAAATTTTTGTCAAATATAATTGACTTTCTTAATTGAAATCTGTTCAAATACAAATTACATTACATTAATTAACTTTTATCTAATTGCATCAGTGTGCGAAAGTTAGCTGTGATAAAAGTCGCTTTTGCTCACATTAGTTCAAACAGGACCCAAAATTGTACAGAGTGTAAGATAAGTTATGTGTACAGTTCAAATATATATTAATATTGATGATATGAGTATATATTAATATTGATGATATGAGTATATTGAATTGTCCACTCTTTCCTTGAAAATTTTTGTTATTTGTTTGGATTCATTGTCCGATATGACCTTCATGCCATGTTTGAATCAAATTTCAGAATAGCATTATTTCATTTTATACTGATTAGCCAAGATAACAAGTCACGTTATGATTTAATAAGTGGATTGCAAACTTATAAAGTGGGAAATCGTTTGGATTATTAGTCTTTTACAATTACAAATTAAATTTCACCATGAATTGAGAATAAATTAAAAGAAATAGAGAAAATAAATATGTATACAAAACTGTGTGTCATAGCTCTGCTTTTTCCCATGTGATCCTCTATTTGAGCCATTTTTATCTTGAAAGAAGTCTCAAATAGGCCCAAAAAATTTATGTTTACAAATCAAACTATAATACTTACAAGTTGAGTTGTGTCAAGAAAAAAAATTAATTTCTTAAGACTTTCTGTATTTAATTTTTTTTAGATGAGATCTATAGAGATAATTTTCTCTTGTTTTTGATTCCCTCACTCACATACTTAATTATATATAAAACACAAATTTATTTGGCAGGAATTGAAATTTTCCAAACCCTATCTTTTACATTATCTCCTCTCTTTTCTTTTGTTATTTTTTTCTGTTTCATCACTTTCATTTTCGACCACCACCGCCACGAATGATCACCACTTGCAAGAATTATTGTGTTGTGTAGGGGCGACTACGAGATTCAGGGGGCTCTTTAATTCTTAAGTACACTGATTCTTCATTCTAATGTACTTAATTAGATTAAATGAACTTAGATTAATCCAAAAACATTAACATATGAAGTTAAAACCCGTGACGACCTCCAACTTGTAGGAAATATTCGTGCTACTAACGAGGCTACAAGACTATTGACTTGCGCCTTCAAAATTTTAATCACAACACCATGAATTGTTCTCTATGCTTCTTTTGGTAGTCATGCCAAGCATGTACTCCCTTTGGTCCTGTGAACAAATTAAAAATTATACTCTCTTCTATATGTTTTATAAGGCATTATTAGCTCATTTATACGCATCAATAAAAACGCTTAAAAGTATTGAATAAAATTCAAGTGATTTTTAATATTATTTTATTAATCATATTAAACTCTAACATCATACTCATCTGGTCGTATTTATAAAATAGAAATAGAAGAAAATTTTTAGTCCTCTTTTTAATGGAAAGAGAAAATTTTCATATGAGTATACAATTTTACTCTTTATTTATTATTGTTTTGACTTTGTTTTTATGAGAAATAATGTATATTAAATAAGGATAAAGTTTGAAAGTTGTTGAATTTTAATTTAGAATTAATAAAGTTTAAAGTATTTATTTATCTATATAAAATATGTTGACAGTGACTTATAATAAGACCAGATAAGTATTAATTTCTACTCCCTCACTATCTTTATTAAAAATGAGATCTATTAAAAAAATATTTAACACTCATTGAAATTGAAAGTATCAAAACATCTTATAAAAACGGCAAAAAAATATCTTATATTACCTTCGGTTCTTAATATAAGAACTTGTTTGGCTTTTATTTTAGTTATAAATATAAAACATCGATCCACTTTATCCTTATATTTATCCAATTTTTCTCAAGGTAGTCCTTGGTAGTTCTAATTAATATATTTAATTAATAAGGATATTTTAGAAAAGATGAAACCTATTTATTACAAATAACTAATTTAACTAGTTTTCTTAATCTACTCAAATTAGTTAATTAACTCTTATATTAAGTAGAAATGGATAGGTATCGGGAGGGAGTGAGTGACTAAATTAAAATCAAATTATAAGCTCCGCCTTGTGAATACCAATGCCATCGAGCTGGAATACACACGCGCGCACACACTCATTCTTAGTTTTGTGGGGTCAGTTAAATTCAGAAAATTAATTTAGTGAGGAAAGAGTAAGACAGCTAGCTTAATTAGGCAATTATTAAATAAATCAAATGCTCCATGTGAAGGCGTCCCAACAACTATATAAAATAATGCTATAAAATCCGCAATAAACTACATTATTCATCTTATAAAAATACTTATAATTATAATTCACTCCCTGATAAGATTTAAATGTGGGTTCATATCGTTACCAGTTTGACCGCAACCACCTTAATTAATGATACTTTTTTTTAAAAATGTCATTACTCAATATCAACATTAACCAATCGATAATATCAATCTTAAATAAATAAAACATCTCTAATAGACCGTATCATTTATAAGCATTGAATGAGTATAGCATGATTCATACTCTCTACAATATACAAATAATATCAACCACCAATATATACATATACGCCTTCAGTTTTTAACGTAATTAGTGAGTTCATATTGATCCTATATATAAGACTTATTTCACATGTTTATCAATTTTTTTTCAGATTAATTTCATTAATATTCTTTCAACAATAATCAAGTAGGAAAGGAAACTAGCGATGAAGAAATTAAGAAAAATGCTTATAGTGTTTTAGAAAAA